ACATTGTACATTTTCTGAAATCTACCCACCTATCTATCCGAACATCATTACCGTCTTCATATCAAAATCCATTCTTCTGCTTTACCCAATTCTCTCCTTCCATTTTAACCTTATCGGTCCTCAAGAGTCCGGTGGGTTCACTTTCCAAGCAATGCTGCCTTTTGTCCATTTGATGAATGTGAAGTAGTGCTCAAAATCAGTGAATGGTGTAGTACAGTATGTCCTCACCGTTGACGCATAATTGGCTCTGGTTGTGATCCAATCATTCTCGAGAAAATAAGAAAAATAATGCATGTGCGTATGAAGCTATGAAGGCATCTGAATGTACATTTGCACATGTTGTCTGTCTCAGTAGCTGTCAGTGCTTTTGCATTTTGTCAGCAGTTGATTGTCTAGTACTTTGTTTAGCACTGTGTGTGTCGAGTGTTCACTTTTCAGTGTCTCGTCCTGTAGCGGCATGTTTTCTGCTTCACTGGTTTGTGTCTTATCAACCCTCCTTGTGTGTGTTTTTTGTACGTGTGTGTGTGTGTGTATAGGCCGGTATTGCAGGAGCGCCCGCTCGTGCCGTATCAGCTGTAAAGAACATGAACCTCCCGGAAATGCCCAGAAACATCAACATTGGTGACATCAGCATAAAAGTGCCAAATTTACCCTCCTTCAAATAGTGGCAGCGAGATCCCGAACCTGCAGATGTCAGCCAATGTTTACAGTGATGCAATCTGTTTACCACAACCTCAATTCACCAACTTTTATCAAAACTATAAATCTTCAAGGTACTGTGTGATCTGACACTCCTTGTACGTGTGCTTTCTCTTTCTTCTTGTGTTATTTTTCTCAGTTTGAAGTAAAAGTAAGTATTTATTTATGAATGGTACATTCCTTACGCCTCACTGAAGGTTGGCTCATGACTTTCAGCTCACTGGAATCTGCTAAAGTGTTTACTTGAAAGAGAATTGCGTGGCAGGAAGTGACCTTTTGGGGCAGTCTTACGAGTTTTTTTTTTTTTTTTTTTCCAGATTAAGAGAATCAGTCAAGTAGAAGTGAAAGCAAAAATATTTCGAATCCAAAATTGGAACCAGTTTAGTACAGTATTGAGAGATTTAGGGCACAGAAGATTATTATGTTGAAGATATGCTGTGTGACAGAAAAATATATATGAAATGATTTTTCTTTTATTTGTATGCAAAGTATTTTTCAAAGATTCACCATGTCTTACCAAATGATGCTCTTAATTTTTGTGTGTATATGACTTATTTTCTCTTCTTTTTTCAACATAATAAACGTCAAAACGAAACCTGTGTGCTTGGCTTACTTCATTTTTATAAAGATCTTATGTCAGCTGCTCCTGTTGGGAGTCACCATGGTGGATTATCTGCCTCCGTCTCACCGTATCCCGGTTTCTCCTGGCTCGGCCTCCTGTCTTTTTGCCAGTGCCACTGTCTCCAAACCATCTATCACAAGAAGTCTCACTATCATCTAGACCTTCCCTTTCACGCTTGTTCCTCCTGCTACAAATCACCCCTGATACTTGGCTAAATATGTATGTGGTACATTACATTTAACTAAATGTTTAAAATAAATATGCTGCCTAACATTTATTACAAATTCTCAGATCCACTGTACTTTTGTCAAGTCAACTCATAAAACATTTTTGGGTTATCAAATCTTAACTTTAAACCACGGAGGTGGAGAAAAAGAACAGTGCAATGGACAATTTAAAATAAATTTGGGACAAAAACATACAAAACTCACCCAAAAGCCTTCTTATCCAGTGTGTCGCGCCTTTATTTCCTAAAAACAAGTTAAACAGAAAACAAAAACCAGTAAACTAAAATGACGTATTATCATGATTGTATTTGGGCTTTTTTCAGAACAACAGTCCATTTGCAAGGGGGAGGTTTTTAAAAAAACAACAAAACAAAAAAAACAAAACAAAACCCCAGCAGAGCCCCAAATTTGTTCTGGTAAATGTCAGATAAAGCATAAAATACATTTTATGTGCTTTTGCCGGTGTTTTTTTTATTTTATTTTTATTTTATTTTTATTTTTTCTTAGCGCTTTTCTTGCAGGACAGGCACTGATTTGTCCAACGCTGATTCCGTAGTGACTAGAGATTCACTGTGCGCAGTTTTTACGCAAAACAAAATCTCACAGAAACTTTATTTTGCAGAAAGTGACATGATGACAAATGTCAGCAGTAAGTTTTCGTTTTTTTTAATGGAAGTAAATGATTTCCCTCCATCCAGCAGGCTAACAGCAGCCAGCGCGGATCCACTCTCTGCCGTGACTGCGCATCTCCGCGCAGCTTTGACGGTCACATGACTTGTCTTGTGACAACAGGAAGCCGGAATGTCAACAGTGTGAGGATGCTGCTGTGGCTTTGACGCTTTTCAATTCTTCAATCACTATTTTTAAGGACGCAGACTACAATGACTTCCATTATAAAAGAAACACAAAGGTGGGACCCCCCCCCCCCCCCCATGTAAAAAATTACATGTAACGACATTTTATCTTGTAGCAAAGCCTGAGCTACCTGTAGCATACGAAGGCATGCCGAAAGTCGATATTGTAATTTGTTGCATTAATACATGTTAGCAAAGGGTATCTATATTTATCTTTTTTTACATTTTGGTGAGATTGAATTGCACAAATGCGCCTTCTTCCATTTTAGCCTTACGCGTTTGCTCAGTCTGGTATGGTAACATTAGCAAGTATGTTGGTGGGCTGGAGTAAACGAGTCATACTTTGGTACAGTGGTCGAACTTATGCGCACAATGACTTAATGTCACTTAAGCAGTGTCTTTGTAGAATAAAAATACTACTGGGGTGCCGGGTTAAGTAAAATCCCACAAGGATATATTTAGACTTAAGTCTGTACAAGTTACTTAAAGTTACTTATGCTTAAAAAACAAAACTACTATAACTTGAAACTGGGCAGAAGTATTGGCCGCCTTTAAACCACTTAATAAGACAGTTGAAATCATATCATGTAATCGATTTGAATAAAAAAACTTTTACCCATTTAGACTTTCTGTTACTATATGTAGTATAGTTGCAAGAGATTTAAATATTTTTTTTAACTTTTTGATGAAAGAAAAGAAAAGGCCAGTTTACGATCAAGATAGATTTAAAACAAACAAACAAAACAAAAAGGCCTGAACCCCTGAATCCTACAATAAGGGGATGTGGTGTCACTACTATGCTGTTTGGGGTATTTTTCTTGCAGGTTTTGAATCTGGTTGTGAAGCAGGATCGCTGAGAAAATGGTTCTAACGGACATAGCCTGGCTGATTTATCTGCTGCCTGTCTATTAGTATCGCAGTTTATAACGACTAATAAATTAACATTGAAAGAGTAAAGAAGAGACTGCTGAAACACCCTTCAACCATATTATGAGTGTTGATGTTGCATAACTGGTCCACCCGAGGGCACTCTGCAACTTCCCTTTTGGAAAGAAATACAAATACTACAAATGAGCCAAACTGAGTGTAAACGAGTACATAAATAACTACATATTATAAAAATTAGGGAAATATGTTTATGTTTAGTGGGTCTGAAAGAAAAAAAAA